CCTTCCAAAGGAACCTGGGCTTGACTCCAAGATTACTGGATAAATCTACCTGCTTCAGGTATTTGTGGCTTACAACATCAGGAAAGGAGTGATTCATCTGGAACTTTGGCTATTAAAAAATTTATTTTGGGCTGGGCACGGTGGCTCAGGCTTGTAATCCCAGCACTTTGGGAGGCTGAGGCAGGTGGATAACCTGAGGTTAGGAGTTCAAGACCAGCCTGGCCAACATGGTGAAACCCCATCTCTACAAAAGTACAAAAATTAGCCTGGCATGATGGCAGGTGCCTGTAATCCCAGCTACTTGGGAGGCTAAGGCAGGAGAATTGCTTGAACCAGGGAGGTGGAGGTTGCCGTGAGCTGAGATATGCCATTGCACTCCAGCCTGGGCAACAGAGAGAGACTCTGTCTCAAAAAAAAAAAAAAAAAGTATTTTGGCTGGCACAGTGGCTCACACCTGTAATCCCAGTGCTTTGGAAGGCTGAGGCAGATGGATCACCTGAGGTCAGGAGTTCGAGACCAGTCTGGCCAACATGGTGAAACCCTGTCTCTACTAAAAATACAAAAATTAGTGGGGCATGGTGGCACGTGCCTGTAGTCCCAGCTACTCGGGAGGCTGAGGCACAAGAATCGCTTAAACCTGGGAGGCGGAGGTTGCAGTGAGCTGAGATCATACCACTGCACTCCAGCCTGGGCAACAGAGCGAGACTCGGTCTCAAAAAACAAAAAAACAAAAATTTATTTCACGAGACTGAAAATAGAATCAGCCTGGCTAAACAATTAACCCACACAGATAGCTGATAAAATGAAATCACCTGAGAAAAGGTCTGGAGCCTGTCAAGGGGCTGCCCTCAGCCTCATTCCTGGGATCTTTGCCCTGCTGCTGTGCGAGTCTAGCAGCCAGGAGAATGCGAGCTGGAGACCCCCAGCTGCTGGGAGCTTGGCTGTCTGCAGGCCTGGCTGTGGCTGGCTCTGGTCAATCCCTGCATCTGCATCCCGACCATGCTTCCCAGGGGCTGTTCCCCAGGCACTGTGTGCAGAGGGTACACTAGGCAGACAGGACTGTGATGGCCAACGGACACCCTGGAGAGTCTGCCTTAGACCGAAGGCAAGACAGCAAGTGCCCACCCAGCCTTCCTCAGAAATGGCACACTGTGGTCCCACGGTTCTCCCAGCCTTGCCCGGCTCCCTCTCCATTTTCTTGCAACTATTTGTCCTAATGAAACCCTATCTTGTTGATGAAATCCTATCCTGTCTTGGTGTCTGCCTCTCACCAAGGACCTGGACTAATACAGGCCTCTGCTGGCCAGCACAGGGCCCCTGTCTTGCAGAAAGGCTGCTCTGTGATGGCCACCTCCACCCTTGCCCTGCCTTCTCTTGGCCTGAGCTCAGTACCCTTGGCCCGCATCCTTCAGACTGCAGTTACGTTCATCCAGTCTCCAAGTTTTTGGCCAAGTCTGTGCCACCTCACTATGAGTCACTTGACGGTTTTCTTTCAACCAACTTTAACTCCAGTGTTATGTATGCAGCCTTGTGTTAAACAGTAATATCCATGACGTCCCTAGTTCTTCTACACATGATCTATATTTGTGCTAATACCCAGGTTCTGTGCACCACTGCGGGTGTGGGCCCCACACTCTGGGAACCACTGCTCCAGACTAACTTGAATTCCATCCTGCTGCCATGCCTGGTCACAGGGCAGGGCTCTCACTGCACACAGGGTCCTTCTGTGCCCAGTGAGTCTGAGGTCAGACCTTGCCTCACACAAGTCATGAGTTTCCTATCTGACTTAATGCCTGGGGTTTGCTCAGGAGGCTCCCCCAGGCCTCTCCGTTTGGGGGAACCCCTGAGGCCTGCTCCTGCGACATATAAGGGCTACTAACTGGGTTTATTTATCCCTGTGGTCTTGGGGAAAATGAATGGACTCTGGTCTGGAAAATCAGACAGGGCCCAGCAGCCATTACTCTCCATCTCTCCCTACCCAGCCCCCCACCAGCCATTACTCTCCATCTCTCCCTACCCAGCCCTCCCCTCCTCTGGGATCTAATCTGATGGGCTCCTCATGCCTGGGGTAGTTATCTGTGGTAGGTTAAACTCACAACCACAATCTTTAAAGGCCCCCATTGTATGTCCAAGGGCAGAGAGAGGAGAATGAGAAGGAATTCTCCTGCCATCAAGGATACGAAAATCTCCCTGGATTCAATACAAAGTAATCAGAAGTTGGCCACGGGTGGATCATTACTGAAGCCAGCTGATGGGGACATGGAGGGTCATTATGCTCTTGGCTTTTGTATGTTTGTAATTTTTTCATATAAAATGTTTTAAAATAATGGCTAAGGGAGGGGAGGGAGATGGGGCAGGAGAGTAGATGAACAAGATGGGATACTTGTTGGGTGATGGTGATGGATGGGGCTTGGGGGCTTCTATATAATCTTGTTTCCAAGAGTGAGGCACAGCTCATCTGATGCCAGATCAAGTGCCAGGACTTAGCTAAAAAACAAACCATTTCCTATGGAAATCCTTCCAGAAGCTTTCTTTTTCTTGCTTTTCTTTTTTGTTCTGTTTTGTTTGTTTTTGTTTTTGAGACGGAGTCTCTCTCTGTCACCCAGACTGGAGTGCAATGGCATGATCTTGGCTCACTGCAACCTCCGCTTCCCGGGTTCAAGCGATTCTCCTACCTCAGCCTCCCGAGTAGCTGGGATTACAAGTGCCTGAGACCATGCTCAGCTAATTTTTATATTTTTAGTAGAGATGGGTTTTCGCCATGTTGGCCAGGCTGATCTCAAACTCCTGACCTCAGGTGATCCGCCTGCCTTCGCCTTTTTGTTGCTTTTCTACTGAGGCTAATATGCCTGCTTTCTCAAGCAAAAGGCACCACCTCTGGTCCTGCCGAGCTGTGTCGCTGCAGGTCCAAGAAGCGGCACTGTATCTGACATAGGGTCTTCTATGTCCTGCCCTGATGCTGGCAGCGGGTCTACCCCCAGCTGCCCCATCTCCTTTATTAGTATCAGACAGATTCGGCTCAAGTGCTGGCTCCAGCACTACTCAAGATCTGACCTCAGATAAACCGTGCCTCACTTCTCTGAGCTTTCTCAAATGTAAAAAGAGCAATAATGGTCTGCTCCTTGTCCAGGTAAAAAGAGCTGATGTTTATAAAGCACAAAGGTCAGGCTGTGACACATGCAGTACTTGGTATTTTACCAAGGCTGGTGAAACTATGTGTAGAGTAAGTAAACAGATTCTGAGAGCCCAGTGGCCTCTCCTACAGCTAAGGCTTTGTGATGGTTATTTCAGCTGCTCAAAACCCTTTTATCTGAATTCTAGCTTCGAGACTCCTTTGCTGAGGTGCTCATAGCCTGTCCATGGCTCCTCTGCTCATATATTTTCCTCCTCGGCCAGGTGTGGTGGCTAATGCCTGTAATCCCAGCACTTTGGGAGGCCGAGGCAGGTGGTCAAGAGATCAAGACCATCCTGGTCAACATGGTGAAACCTCGTCTCTACTAAAAATACAAAAAATTAGCTGGGCGTGGTGGCGCACAGCTGTAGTGCCAGCTACTCAGGAGGCTGAGGCAGAAGGACCACTTGAACCCAGGAGGCAGAGGTTGCAGTGAGCGGAGACTGCGCCACTGCACTCCGGCCTGGCGACAGAGTGAAACTTGGTCTCAAAAAACAAAACAAACAAACATATTTTCCTCCTCCATGTCTCTTCCCACTTCCTTCCCACCTACTGCAAGGGGGAGCCAGGGTATCACAGGGGTCAAGATGTGGGCCCAGTATCCGTCACTCCTACCAAAATCCTTCAAGATAATTGATCAGTTTGAACTCTGGGGCTCAGTGGAACCTTGGGGTTTTCCCAAAAGACACGCTTTGGGTGATTTAATGACACAAATGATTTCTTATTTTCAATTTAGGCAAAGATAGACAATCAACTTCCTGTCTCTGCCTGCAGATTGTAGTTATCATCTTGACCTGTCTGGGCACATTTGCTCCAAGTGCCATCAAGAAAGCAAATAGGGGCTGGGTGCAGTGGCTCACGCCTGTAATTCCAGCACTGGGAGGCCAAGGCAGGTGGATTGCTTGAGCCCATGAGTTCAAGACCAACCTGTGCAACACAGCGAAATCCCATCTTTACAAAAAATACAAAAATTAGACATGGTGGTGCAGGCCTATAGTCCCAGCTGCTCAGGAGGCTGAGGCAGGAGGATCACTTGAACCCGGGAGGCAAAGGTTGCAGTGAGCCGAGATTGTGCCACTGCACTCTAGCCTGGGTGACAGAGATTCCATACCCCGCCAAAAAAAGAAAGAAAGTAAATAGGGCCCTGTGCAGTGGCTCATGCCTGTAATCCCAACACTTTGGGAGGCCAAGGTGGGAGAATCGCTTGATCCCAGGAGTTCGAGACCAGCCCGGGCAACATAATGAGACCCCATCTTTACAAAAATAAAAAATTAGCCAGCTGTGGTGATGTACGTCTGTAGTCCCAGCTACTTGAGAGGCTGAGGTGGGAGGATTGCTTCAGCCAGGGAGGTTGAGGCTGCAGTGAGCTATGACTGTGCCACTGTGATCTAGCCTGGGCAACAAAGCAAGGCCTATTTCAAAAAAAAAAAAAAAGGAAAGAAAGTAAACAGCAAAGGCTGACAGAGACATGTGATATTTATTTTATTTTTATTTTTATTTTGAGACAGAGTCTCACTCTGTTGCCCAGGCTGGAGTGCGATGGCATGATCTCAGCTCACTGCAACCTCCGCCTCCTGGGTTTGAGCGATTCTCCTGCCTCAGCCTCCCAAGTAGGTGGGACTACAGGCGCGTGCCACCACGTCCAGCTAATTTTTTGTATTTTTAATAGAGATGGGGTTTCACCGTGTTAGCCAGGATGGTCTTGATTCCTGACCTTGTGATCCACCCGCCTTGGCCTCCCAAAGTGCTGGGATTACAGGCGTGAGCCACTGCGCCCAGCTCTTTACAGTAACCTAGATAAGGAATATCAGAAGGAACTGCTATGCCTATTACCTCCTCCATCCTGACCAGCACGCCCCTACAATTTCCCTATTTTGTTATAATTTTCCCTTTGGTCAGGACCATTTCCCCTTATCTTTCATTGCTGATCAAAGATCTGCACTTAAATATATATATATATATTTAGCTACAGGAAATAATCCAGACTCCTTGGCCTAGAATTAACTTTCTAGATTCAACCTATCTAGAGCGTCTGGAATGTTCATAATCTCAGATAACATTTAATGAGCACCTCCATGGTGCAACACGCAGGTGCAGGATTTCTTACCACAACATGATGCAATAGGGTCTATTATTCTCCCCATTTTACAGAGGAGCAAACTGAGGTACAAAGGCTAAGTAATTCTTCTACAAAACAGTGGCACTGGGATTCAAATATGAGTCCGTCTAATACAAAAGCCCACAAAACAGGTTCCTTTCAGCTGATGCTGCCCCTGGCTTCAGGAACGGCACCAGTGAACTGAGATTACGTGGATTTAGGGTCTCTGGCTCATCACTCGGGAGGCCGTAGGAGACAGGAAGTGAGGCAAGACTCCAGAGGCGAGGCGGTGAGAATGGAGATTGGGCTGAGCAGCAGCTCCCCTAGGGAGGTCATCTGCTGGCTGAGACATTCTGTCATTTGGAAACTTTTCCAGAGCCCTTACCTGGGCACAGGTGACGGAGACAAATCTGAAGTGGTCTGAAAGGCTTTGGGATAGCAGTGAGTGCGATGGTTAGGGACGTGCGTGTTCAAATCACACAGCTCAGACATTACTTCCTATTTGTGTGACCTTAAGCAAACTGCTCTCCCTCTCTAGGCTTCAGCAGACCTGTTACTGATGGAGGGGAGGAAAGTGGTGGGCAGGAAGCACCCCTCAATTCCCCACTGCATGGCTGCGAGGGCTGGGGCCTATGGAGATTGGACAGAGAAATGGTCAGACATCTGGCCCAGAGCTTGCAGGCAGGGCCAACCTGTGCTGGGGACTCGGGAGACCACGGGTGAAACACAGGCACCCAGCAGTACATGACTTCAGCCAGGTTAATTAACCTCTCTGTGCTTTAGTTTTCTCATCCATAACATGGGCATAATCACAATACCTAATTCATAGTTAGTTGAAGATTAAATGAGTCAATATCTTTGAAGTACAGTACTTGGAATGGTGTCTGACACTAGAAAGCCTCCAATTACTGAGTTATTTATTTTCTGCTCACAAAAATGGTAATAGATGTTTTATATGTTTTGTTACCTGATTTTTTTCCACTTTTCTACCTTCCTATATTGTGAGTATGCTTTCATGTACATATGCATGTCTACATCATTGTTTTGTGGGGTTTTTTTTGTTTTTTTTTTTTTGAGACAGAGTCTCACTCTGTTGCCCAGGCTGGAGTGCAGTGGCGCAATCTCAGCTCACTGCAAGCTCTGCCTGCCTCAGCCTCCCGAGTAGCTGGGACTACAGGCGCCCGCCACCACGCCCGGCTAATTTTTTGTATTTTTAGTAGAGACGGGGTTTCACCGTGTTAGCCAGGATGGTCTCGATCTCCTGACCTCATGATCCACCCGCCTCGGCCTCCCGAAGTGCTGGGATCACAGGCGTGAGCCACTGCGCCCGGCCATGTCTATGTCATTGTTGACAGTACTTTATTGTGACTGTCTGACATTAATTTTATCATCCCCCATTGTTGTTGCCAGATTTTTGCTTTCTTTAGGCACAGTCTCACTCTGTCACCCAGGCTGGAGTGCAGTGGTGTGATCATAGCTCACCACAGCCTTGCACTCCTGGGCTCAAGCAGTCCCCCTACCTCAGCCTCCTGAATAGCTGGGACTACCAGGTGTATGCCACCATGCCTGGATAATTTTTTTTTAATTTTTTGTAGAGACAAGGTCTCACCAGGTTGCCTAGGCTAGTCTCAAACTCCCAGGCTCAAGCCATCCTCCCTCCTCAGCCTCACAAAGAGCTGGGATTATAGGCATGAGCCACCATGCCCAGCCTCAATGTTTTGCTCTTATATGCTAAGCTGAATGTCCTTATAGATATATCTTCATTTCCTTAAATAAATGTGCTTTAAGTAAAAAAGTTAAATTTAAAATACCTGGGCCTGGAAAGGTGGCCATCCTCACAGGCTGCCCCTCTTCCTGTTCATCCTCAGTCTTTCTTACAGAAGCTGCCAAAGGCCTTTCTGGCTTCACACAGTCAGGGAAGGCTGGAATGGGACACCTGATTTCAGGAACTGGTTTCCCTGAAAACAAGGTGGAAAGAAAGTTATTACTATTCCATGAAGTGGGGTAGCCATTGAGAGACTGGGTCTGGAAGTCAGAGGCCTGGGTTCTGATTCCGGCTCTGCCACAAATGCACGGTATTGCAGGGCAGGAGGGGCTTTCCCTTTCTGGCCTCGGCCTCCCCATCTGTAAAATGCTGTGGGCCACGCACGGTGGCTTACACCTGTAATCCCAGCACTTTGGGAGGCCGAGGTGGGTGGGACTGCCTGAAGTCAGGAGTTTGAGACCAGCATGGCCAACATGGTGAAACCCCGTCTCTACTAAAAATACAAAAATTAGTTGGGCGTGGTGGCACACGCCTGTAGTCTCAGCTACTTGGGAGGCTGAGGCAGGAGAATCGCTTGAACCGGGGAGGCGGAGATTGCTGTGAGCCGAGATTGCGCCACTGCACTCCAGCCTGGGTGACAGAGTAAGACTCCGTCTCAAAAAAAAAAAAAAAGAGCAGTGGCTGAACATGGCAGTCCCGGCGAGGGTGGAGCTCTGATGTGCTGAGTCACACACACCTGCTTCCACCCAACCAGCTGTGTGACCTCCAACAAGTTACCTTCCTCCTCTTGGTCTCCCTTCCCTCACATGTAAAATGGAGGTGATAATGGCGTCCATTTGCCTCCCACTGGGGTGTCATGAGGGAAGGGAGAGTAGAGATGGGGATGGGCGCCATAGACTGCACATTTCCCTGAACATGTGAGTGTGTCAAAGACACCATCCCTCTAAGTTCCCACTCCAGCCCCTATGGATCAAAGTTCTGGCTATCCTACAACCTCCCTTCCACGCGGTGGAGACACACGCTTCCTTCCCACTCGATGGATAGGAATCCTAAAAAACAGCAGTTATGGCCACTGAATACGGGCTGCACCAGGCCCAAGCCCAGCTGCACAGACATGAATCCTCACAACATCTCTGCCTTTCATCCCTGTTCAGAGATGAGGAAACTGAGGCCTGAGCAGGTTAAATTTACATTTACTTGCTAAGATCACATGCCAAAGGCAGGCAGGACTGGCCGAAGAACTCCCCTGCCTTCTCGAGGGTAATCGTTTCCTCTTTACATCAACGGGAAACCCCAAAGGTGCTTCGAGGGTGTGTCAACCTCAGCTTCCAGCCTGCTTCTCAGAGCTGCTCTGTGGAACAGCTTCCTCTCCCCTCCTCCACTAGGCCCTGATCTTATCCCTTCCGGCTGGGCCCTGCCGCCAGCTCAGTCAGCCTCCACACCCTTGCCAGCCTGCCTCTTACCAAAGTACACATCTGGCCTCGTCACTTCCCTGCTTGAAGCCTTTATGGGACTCCCCATTGCCTAGATAACGTCCACACTCCTTAGCCTGAATCTTTCTGTCTCCCCATTGCCTCCCAGATAAAACCCAATTCTATCGCCCTGCATTCAAGGCCCTCATTCTCTGATGGTTTGGGATAGACTCATGTTTGAGAACGACAAAAAATGGGGCACTGAAGTCCCAGGGAAAGCTGCTGACTCGCTTGACGTCACACAGAGCATGACATAAAGCATGACACGGGGATATCACAACAGATGTCCCAGGTAGGGCTGGGACAAAACATCTCCCGCAACATTTCTTTGAACTGGTGAACTGTGCCTCTCTAAACAAACCAGTTGTTACCCTGGGACCTCACTTGTCAAACCCACGCTTTTGAACTAAAACAATAAGACCTAAATTTGCATAGCACCACACTGGCACCATGCAGATTTAATTTTCACAACAATCTCTGGTAGTTCATAGGTTTATCTGCTTTTTATTTTTGGGCATATTGAGGCTCAAATAAGTGAAACGACTTGTGTCAAGTAAAACAGCCAACAACAGTGAAACCAGTCCCAGGCTCACTGCAAGCTCCACCTCCCGGGTTCACGCCATTCTCCTGCCTCAGCCTCCCGAGTAGCTGGGACTACAGGCGCCCGCCACCACGCCCGGCTAATTTTTTGTATTTTTAGTAGAGACGGGGTTTCACCGTGTTAGCCAGGATGGTCTCAACCTCCTGACCTCATGATCCGCCCACCTCGGCCTCCCAAAGTGCTGGGATTACAGGCGTGAGCCACCACACCTGGTGTGATTTTATATTGTGGAGTTTTTTCCTTGTGATTTATTCGTATCATAGAATTTTTCAACAAAATGATTATGCATTATTTACACAGTATACTTCTTTTTAAAAAACCAGTTAGCAAGCTAGCTAAAATAATGATAGAACTGAATCTTCCAAGCTAGTGTGAGTAGCATTTGCCCTGGAGACCCCTCTGGCTCCAGTGAGCAGACGATGAATCAGCCCTTCATGAGATTCAGATCTGCCTCACTTCTGTTTTTCACCAACGAATATCCACATTGTGTATTGATACGTTCACTTCAAGCACCCCTCCCCACAATCCTGGCGATCTCAAGTCAGGAAGCTGAGGCTCAGTGGGGAACAAGACCTGCCGGAGGGAGACAGGAAGGCAGGCAGCACTGAGGCAGGAAGGCAGGGTCTCCTCCCAGAACCACGGACAGAAGGGCACCCAGAGGGCACGCACTTCTCTCCCGACCTGGGCTCCACAGGCACTTTGGTGGTTTGATAGACCACGCCCCCCCCATCCCGACTGCCATCAGGGCAAGGCCTTTGTGGCTGAAACTCGAAGTCTAGAAGCCAGTTTCTCTCCAACAAGGGCCTGGCTGCCAGGAATCACAGGATCACCGTCTGCCTCATGGCATCCCACAGGCCCAGGAGGAGAACAAACAGTGCCTAGGCCAGGCACGATGGTTCACGCCTATAATCCCAGCATTTTGGGAGGCCAAGGCGGGCAGATCACCTGTGTGCCAACATGGCGAAACCCTGTCTCTACTAAAAATACAAAAATTAGCCAGGCGTGGTGGTGCACACCTGTAGTCCCAGCTACTCAGGAGGTTGAAGCAGGAGAATCGCTTGAACCCGGGAGGCAGAGGCTGCAGCGCGCTAAGATTGCGCCACTGCACTCCAGCCTAGGCAACAGAGCAAGACTCTGTCTCAAACAACAACAAAAACCAGTCCCTTGTACAGAATGACAATGAACAATGCCGGCGAGAGTGCTGATTAAAGCACGGGTCTGGAACAGAGCTGTCGCTCGCAGGGTGCACAGAAATGAAAGCTCTGCCTGTGTCCCCTAGAAGGCCACCCCCCGCCACTCCCAGCCCTCATCTTTCCCAGCCTCCCCTCTCTGGCAGGGAAACACTGCCTCTCTCCCTCCACCCTCCCTCCTCAAACCGCCTCAGGTGGGGCCTGTGTTCCTGGAAAGGCTTGTCATCCTTGTGACATCTGTGTCAAAAGGGCAGCAGTGGCTCCCCTGGCTCAGGGCCAGCTAGGCTCACTGAAATCACTTCCCAACAGTGACCTCCTGCAGAGGCCAGGCCCACAACAGTATAAAATCCGCCCTAAAGGTCTCACCTACACCCAGCACCGCCCATGACCCCAGCAAATGAGGCACCTTCTCCTTGTCTGAGGCCTGCCTGGCTGAGCCTCATTGTTCTCATCAGTAAAATGGGGATGAGGGCGATACTCACAGCCTTACTTAACTTCAGTGTCCTGTTCCTTTTTTTTTTTTTTTTTTTTGAGACAGGATCTTGCTCTGTCACCCAGGCTGGAGTGCAGTGGTGTGATCGCAGCTCACTGCAGCCTCAAACTCCTGAGCTCAAGCTATCCTCCTCACTTAGCCTCCCATGCAGCTGGGATTACAGGCAACATCACGGCCAGCTAATCTTTAATTTTTTGTAGAGACAGCATCTCACTATGTTGCCCAGCCTGGTCTCAAACTCCTAGGCCCCAGTGATCCTCCCACCTTGTCCTCCCAAAGTGCTGGGATTACAGGCATGAGCCACTGCTCCCAGCCCAGTGTCCAATTATTCAGGATAATGTTTTGTTCAGCACAAATCTTTGCCTCTCTGTCAAAACACACTTGGCAGGAACATCAAGGCCACCAACCCATTTGTGGCCGATCTCTGTGGGCTCCACCCATGGGGAAGATAAAAAATGTCATTATATTTTCATCCTAAAGAGAGTACAGCTTTTCTCTTTCTTTTTCTTGTTCTTTCTGCAGTGACATGCGGTGGCCCCACCTGGCACCACAGGGCACTCGGAAGTGAGCAGGGGTGAGAAATAGATGGGGAGGGGCAGTGTCGGCAGGGCTACCTGTGGCCAGACCTGTCAGCACACCTGGGGCTGACATCCACCCTCCCACACAAGAGGCACCAGGCCACACCCAGCCACGGATGTAAGCCATGGATGTCAGTCAACAGAGCCCCACGTCAGCCCCACCAAGAAGTTTTGGTTTCCTGTGAAACCCCCATCTTCGCGAGCTTTGAGTTTTTAGGTGTCTTTAAAATGCAAGCAATAAATGGTGCGTATAAACACGAACCGCCCTCATCTCCACCCTGGAGCTACCGGTGTGGTCTGAGCTGGGTGGGCGGGCAGGTCCATGCATGCCTGTTCACTGTCCAAACCTGAAGGTGGAGAAAATAGCCTCTGTCCTCATCCCTCCAAACCTGCTCCCTGCTAGCTAGACAGACGCAATGCCCACTTGTTCAGGCTGGCACACCAGAGAGCCAGTGAAATAAAAATAGAACACCAAAGGCAGGATGAGGCAAAGGAGGCCAAATGCCCACAAGAAAGGGCTGTGACGAACTTTAACTCTCACGCTGAGCTTCCTGTCTGCCAAGGTGAAGGCTCAGGAGTGAGCTGCTCATGGACTTCCTATCACAGATAGACAGGGGCAGCCTCAGGCTTCCAAGACAGCACTCTTTCCTCCCAGGATTAAATTCTCAAGAGAATTCCACACATAAAGTTGATTCTGCAGGATTGTGAGATCCAAAAATACAGACTGTGATCAAAGAGAAGAACTGGGATCACGAGAGTAAGTGTGGGGAAGCGTCGGCTCTGGCTTGAACCAGACCCAGGCTCTACAGTTCCAGCTTCACGCCCAGGCACAGACCTCCTAACCCTCTGAGCTTCATGC